TTTTGTTTTTTCCATGGTACTTTCAGGATTCTTTCTTTGTCTTTGGTTTTGATGAGTTTGATGATGATGTGTCTTGGTGATTTTCTTTTGGGGTCTGTCCTGTTTGGGGTTCGTTGGACTTCCTGAATGGATATACTCTCATCTTTCATCATATCAGGGAAGTTCTCCTCAAGCAAATCTTTGACAATTTTCTCAGTGGTTTTATTTTTCTCTTTCTGTTCTGGAATTCCAATGACACATAAGTTATTCCTTTTGATGGTATCCCACGTGAACCTTAGGCTTTCTTCATTTTGTTTTATTTTTTTTCTGATTGATCCCTTTCCAAAGAAGTATTCAGATATATGTCTTCAATCTCATTAATTCTGTCTTCCATTGCATGAGTTCTACTCCTTTGCCCTTCCAATGTGTTGTCTATTTCTTACAGTTTAGTATTAATCTGGATTTCTCTCTTTAGGTTTAGAATCATTTCTAAGTTTTCATTTATTTTGTCATTTTGTTCTTGTAATTTTCTTCCAAAATTCTTCCAGGGTTTTTTCTGTGTTTTCTTTGATCTGTCTCTCAATCCTTTGAAGATACCTAAATATAATTCTTCTGAATTGTTTATCAGAGAGTTCCAATGTTGCTTCTTCCTCAGGGATACGTTCTGGGTCTGTATCCTGCTCCCTTGTTTCTACCACTTTATCCTGCTTCTTTGTGTGGATTGTGATGGTGTGTTGTCTCTGAGACATTGTGGAGTTGTTGTATTTAGATCTCTGTTAACTGTTTGTGAAGAGCATCCAAGGGTGATTCAGGGTCTTCTTGGTGTTTTTTTATCGTTGGCCCATTGGTGGAGAAGGAGGTAGTGGCTGTCGCTCAGTAAGTGAAGTTGCAGGAGGTATGGGTGTAGTTGTGTCTATGGGGACTGTTGCTGTCTCCCATTCAGTTAAACAAAAACTACAGTTGAATAACGATCAAAAAACTAAAAGCACATGGACAAGAAACACACCATGTAATCACACAGGAACCAGTAACCGAAGAAAGGGAAAAAGAAGGAGAAAAACCCAAGAAAACCTGCAATATCTGCGGTTAGGACACTAAGAGAGAAAAGGTAGAAAAGGAGAATAATGAAGACAAAAAATGGGACAAATGCAAAAAGAAAAACAAGGAACAGGGTTAACCACAAGAAAGAAGGGGAAAAAAAATTAAATTAAAAAAAAGAACTTTTCAACCAGGAACAGGGAAAAGAAAAGAAGTAAAAAGGACAAAAGTGTTAATAATAATCATAGTTTTAAAACAGACAAATACAAAGAAACTAAACACCAGAAAAAAGAAAGCAAAAAATAATAAAAACAGAGAAAGAAAATTGGAGGATAGGGCAAGGTACCCAGGCTCCATCTGAGCACACAGACTGGGATGGAATTCCTGCGGGCCCGAAGGTGGGTGGGAGTGGGGGATGCTTCACCTCTGTTCACCAAGCGGGTGTGGGGTATAAGAGTAACGAGGAATGTCGTACCTTTCAGTCATGCAGGGCCAGAGTTGTCCTTGGGGTTGCTGGCATGCAGAACCTGTTCTTAAGCCCCTAGAATCTGTGAGAGTGCTGCCTCTTTAAGTATCTAAAATGGTCAAGCCGCTTGTAAACATTCAAAATGGCAGCGCCTTCTGGACAGGCAAAAGTCCACAGCTCAGCCCACCTTTCTCTTAGCTTTTCTGTTTATTCTCCAGCCACCAGAGCAGTCCTCCATGCAGTCCCTGGCTAGCAGGGCTGATTTTTAGGTTAATTCTTAGGTCCTACCACCACTTGGCCCTCTCCACGCTGTCTGTGCCATCAGGATCACTCAGGATCGCTGCCAGACCGCAGCTCCCTCAGTCTCCTTTTTTGGTACTTTCATGCAAATTCTTCTGCTTGTTGGTGCTTAGTCCACTTCTATATCCTTCCCTTCAAGGCTCAGGGGTCCAGGATTATCTTCTGTGTCTGTGTTAATTGGTTTCCCTTTCCTTTGTTAAAGAGGGTCTGTGCAGTCTTTCTGCCTAGTCTGCCATCTTACTGGAACTCTCTGAGGTTATAAATCTTTAGAAGTAGGTTGTCCCGTCTTCCTTCCACGGAGTGGCTGGTGGGTTTAGAACCGCTGGCAGCCTTCCAGTTAGTAGTCAAGTGACTTATCCGCTACGCAACCAGAGCTCCTTACGGTAGTGAAAAGGCATTCATAAATTTTAACCAGTATTTCTTGGCCCAGCAATAAAAATATAAGTTACTGCCTAGCATAAGGTCTTTTGACAGATGCAAGAAAATAGATAGAAACTAGCATTTGCTATTGTTTTCATGTGCTGTTGAGTTGGACCCTACTCATAGCGACCCCCCTTGGGTTTCTGAGGTGATATCACTATATAGATTGCCCAATCTTCCTTCCGAGGAGTGGCTGATGGGTTTGAACTGCCAGCCTTCTGGTTAGTAGTCAAGTGCCTTAGGCACTACACTACCAGAGCTCCTTATATTTTATCTTACTAGATATATTTTCAAGACTTGAAGTCTTGACCTCTTGGCAGAAGTTGTGAAATAACAGAAATGTGTCCCTCAGACAATGTAGTTTCTTCAAATTGTGAACTGTAAGAGATCGTAGTAGTACCTCAGAATAAATGAGTGGATTGTGATCTGCCATATCAGAAACATTCCTCATAAGTGAAATTTAATCTTTTATCTTGTATTATCATCATTATTTTTAATTCTGAAACTGCTTTCTCCCTACTTTCATTATTAAGATGTCCTTTTTTAAAGGTGAGGTTATGATGCTAATTGATGGTCGTTAGGTTTGTTCTTCCAACCCTTATGTGGTACAATAACATTCTCCTCCATTGGTTTGAAATTTTACTGCTTTGTGAAAGCTGAGGCTGGGAACCACAAGAGATTCCTAAAATTACTGTGGAACACATTTAACTGACCTTTTAAGACTTACCAAGTTAGGATATATGAAACTTAAAAAATATCTTTAATCACTTTTAGGAAGATTAACGTAATAAATAGGTGGACCACTCAGTTTGCCCAGCATCTACTGGGCTATCACAGGGATGTTTCTAGTCCCAGAGTCTCAAACCCAAATTATTACCCATCATAAATTGGTAGGCATCATCCGACCCCAGATGCCAAATGCCTGTGACACATGGTCTCATTTGGTCTTCCAAATACTCTTTGAGATTGGTGGGCAGTTATCTTCGTCGTCATCATCATCGTTCTGGTGTGATAAAGGTAATTGAGACATAGTGAATTGAGCAAGCTCACTTAGCTCACAGTGGGTGGAGGTACAGCCAGGCTCATTCACTGAGCAGTATTTATTAACCCTGACTCTCTGCCAGGTGCCATGCGAGGCATGGATTTTTGATTCTTGATCCGGCATTCTTTCTACTCTGCTTGAGGCTTTCTGATAGCCATGAAATTTTCTTTTCTTACACTACCTCTTTAATTATTAAAAAAATATTTTTTATCATTTTTTCAATAACAAAAACAATCAGACTGTTAACTCTGGGAGGTAAACTTTACTGCTGCTTGGATCCAAACAAATCCAGTGGCTTGGTAACAGCACACATCTTCCAATTTGTGCTTAATTTAATAAAATTCATTATTGTATAATTCTAATAAAAAATTCTGGTTTAATTGATGGGTGATCCCCATTAGATGGCAAAATTACTTAAGTAAAACATAAAGCTACAACAGTCTTTGTGCTTTGAAGGAGAAAACATAGTAATCCTTTTAAGTTTTTTTTGATTTAAGAATAAATAATAGTCCCGTTCTCCCAGGCAGAAAAATGGGTCCTAAGTAGAAATGGAATGTCCACCATTTTTTGATAGCCTGTAGTCCAGGAAGTTGGCTGGCCCCACAGTTTTTGATACTTGTTTTCTTTTTAATATCCACAGCTGACCCCTGAGTTCTCCCAGCGTTTGAACAATAAGATTCGGGAACTTCTTCAGCAAATGGAGAGAGGCCTGAAGTCAGCAGACCCTCGGGATGGCACTTGTTACACTGGCTGGTCAGGTATGAAGGGCTGGCATGAGTGTACATGGGGTCAGAGCATTGCCTTTTCACAGCTGTCCACCCTTGAATGCTTCTTGCATCTGCATGTGAGTAACTGCTTCCAGAAGAGTCTGTGTTCTCCACCTAGCATGGTATCTTTTAGATAGTTAATAGTGCCCTTAATTGAGGACATGCCTGCCACAAATTTGGATGGCTGCTATATTGGGGGAGAAAAGATGTTCAGTAATTACATAGTTAATTTGTAGATGGAATTCCAGGGGAAGAGTTAGGAAGATTCCCAAATTACAGTGCATGAAACAGAGGTAAAGAGTATTGATCCACAGGAAATAAAACATGGCCAGAAGAATCACATCTTAAAAATTACCACCTAACTTTTAAAATAAGGTGTAAACACAGGAACATAGGGTACTGTTCTCTGTGGTCAGTCATTGCTAGTTGGTTTTTTTTCTCTGTATTGCTGGTAATGAGATGTATTTTGAACATTTGCAGAAGACTTAGGAGAAAATGGAGCTCTGGTGGCATAGTGGATAAGGCACAGGTCAGTGGTTCAAACCCACCAGCTGCTCTGTGGAAGGAAGACTGAGTGATCTACTTTCATAAAGATTTACATCTTTGGAAACCTAGTGTAGGTGGCTATGAGTCGGAAACGACTCGACAGCAGTGAGTTTGGTTTGGTTTTCAGGGAAGACTAGTGCATTGTCATCAAAAGGTAAGAGAAAGGAACCAAGAGGAAAAGCAAAAGAACTGCCGTTAGCTTGCTTCATGTAGAGACAGAAAGACAACTTGATAGTCCTGAAGAAAGTTCAGTTTAGAGACGTCATGTTTCCCATTTACTTTGAAAAGTAGACAAGGAGGAACAAGTGTGTAGGTTACCATAGTTGTATTTGAAAGTAAGGCAGTGGTGTTTGTCGTAAAAGCATAGGCAGATTCCTAGGCCTGATATCAGAGATTCTAGTTCAGGAGGTCTTGAGTGGGGCCCAGGAATCTGTTTTTTATAAGCATTCAATGGTCCTGATGCAGGTAGCAATCTATGTAGGACTCTATTTGAGAAGTCTTTATATGAGAGGAATTTATAATACCAATCTCATGGCAATCCTCTGTTAATAATGGCAAATGATTCTATCTTTCCTTTTGAGGATGAGAAAGGCAATTAACTATTTCATGACCAGTGGGACATATATCACCCACCAACATTTTCAGCCTCTCAGGTTTCTTGGGAACTGGCTATTCCAATTATAATACATTCTTCCACCTGGCAGAGACCTGAATACTTGTGTGAATCTGAAGAAGTGGGCTTCCCTCTACCAATCCTACCACCAGAGTCCACTTAGGACATATATGTCCTATGTATCAGAATCCATATTATTGCAAGAAAAAAATGTTTTCCTTTGATTTCAGTATAACTTCCATTACTGAAAACACAGGGTATCAACAGAAAACTCAAAGCAGAAAATAATGCTGTCATGAAAAGGTTAAAATCAGAGTAAAGTAGTAACTTCAAGGACGTTGGAGGCCAGTAGTTTTAAAAGAAGAATGGATGGACTACATAATGCCTGGTCATCCTTCTTATATATATGGTGAAACCAAGCAAAACCAAAACCTGTGTAAGGCGGAAACCTGTGAGAGACCTAAAATTCAAAATATTCTTCATGAAAACAAGTGATAAAAAAGTGGTAAGACTGCATCCTGTCAAATGTGGAAAACCTGTGAGGCCTGGGAAAAGAAGGCCTTCGAGTTCCAGCTCTCACAGGTTTCATTGTGGTTTAATTTTATGGTGTTTTGTGGATTTTAGAAATTTAGCACAAGAAATGTTAAGATGAGAATAAAATGAAACTTTCGCTTCGAGAGAGAAGTTATAGCTATCATTTATTGAGCATCTACTGTGTTCCAGGTGTGTTATTGGTAGATTAATCTCAGTAATGAAAATTACTATTTATTTAACAATCTGAAGATTTGAATAAAGCAGCTCAAGTGCAGGATCGTCTTCAGCTTTCCTCTTGGTTGCCAAAATGTAATGATACATAAGGCCTACACTTTTGGCTCTCTTTCTAATATATGTGAGGTTTCTGCTGTTTCGTTATTCTTGGCAAAAAAAGGAGACAGAGACTGACAGCTAGACATGATTTCAGGACTGATTACGGGAAGAATCCCTGAAACCTCAAATCAGCCATTCAGCTGAGTTTGCGCTACAATATATTATAAGGTATCTTGCTTAGAGGGAGAAGAAATGGAGATTTGGTTCAAGTTTGAACTCTGGTACTTCGATGGCATTAGGAAATGCTGTTAGGCCGCTACAATCCTAGAGCTACTTGAGAAGCAAAAACTTAAACTTTCCTTGGAATAGCAAAGAAATTTCACTCCAAAAGACAACGCAGTTTAGATTGTCTTGCTCTTTTGGCAGCATGGCGTTTCTGGCATTTTCTCCTTTGAGTACTGGGATTCTTCAACCTTTTATCCTTAAGTATCTATGATACTCATTGTTGGCTCCTGAAAGCAGCTTATGTAGCAACTGTCTGAGGCAAATTGGCATACTAAGCAGTTAAGGGTGTCTTCAGTTGCTGCTTGCTTTATGATGTAGCATAAAAATCTTCTAGATAAATTTGCTAATGGCTTTTGAGGCAAGTTTCCTAATGTCTCCTAATCGAACACTGTTAAAAAGCCATTATTCCCACATAAAATGGACTGCCTCCTCTAGTGTTTTGATAAGAAAAATGCTTCCTTGTGCCAGTGTTCAGTCTGAATAGTGGAAAACTGTTGCACAGGAAACTAAAGCTGATTCCACTGCAGAAATTCATGTTATTACTGTCTCCTCCCGTTATCTTCTGTCTCATCTATTTGTAACTGCACCTTTACTACTAAAATATGCATTGACAAACATTTTAACACAAAATACTTAGCATTGTATGCAAAAGCAGTGTTTATAATTAATTCAGTGCAGATTTATATGAACCTGGTATGTGTCCCATGTTATCTTTCCAAAAACTGATGCTTCTTTTAGGAGACAGGGATTATATTTGTTTAACTTTGTTCAGCAACAAATTCAGGGCCATGTTTTTATAAATATTAACTTACTGTTTGCTCTTGTTGTTGATTTGTTCAAAATTACATTACTTTGGGAAACATTAATTCACTGTACAAAGAAAACTTTAAACTTGATTTTCTTCTTCAACACTGATTTTAAAGTTGGAACTTCAAATTACCATATTATTTTGTTAAATTTCATTTCCTAGCAGAAGTATGGACTGATAGTTAATCAGTTCAGTTAGTGGTAGGATTAGTAATAGGATTAGGTTATATTGGATACTGTGCCTCCAAAAATAAATGAGTGCTTTAAGCTCCTCACTTATCAACATGGTTAGTTTCCAAAGACCAAGTCATTATGCAAAAACCAGCATTATGAAAAAAAATGGAGAATGACTACATCAGATCACAAAATGGAGGATGATTATATCATTACATAACTACCCAATTACATCATTACATAACTGCCAAACCACTGAGAATCATGGCCCAGCCAAGTTGATGCATGACCTTAAGCATCACAGGCAGTATAGGTCTCCCCTTACACCTCACTATTAGTAACTGCCATATGTACATTGTTAAATTGCAAAATAGTCAGATAGTAGATTTTTTACTATTGTCATAAATGCAAAATGTTGGATAATGAGGTAGTTGATAAGTGAGGAGCTTTATGGAAGTAGATTGCCCCATCTTCCTTCTGCAGAGTGGCTGGTGGGTTTGAGCTGCCAACCTTTTGGTTAGCAGTCAAAATGCCCTGCGCCACCAGAGCTCCTTTAAGTGAGGAGTAGGTATAGTTTATTTTTCTGTCATAGAAACAAGGTCAGCAGGAGACAGTCCAGAGCTGACATGGTGGCCTCCACCTGTCGACAAGAACCCAGGCTCCTTTCTTTCTGCTCCATCATCCCTCAACTACTAGCTTGTAGCTGTTTGTCAGATGGGCTGCCGAAGGTCCAGCAATTGCATCAGCATTTCAAACCCAAGGAAGAAAGAAATGAATGCATTTCCCTCCCTTTAAAAGGACTTTCAGAAATCGCATTTAGCATTTCACTTCTACTTTTTACTGGTCAGAACTTAGTCCCATGCTCACACCAGTTAGCAAGGAAGGATGGTGAATGTAGTCTGTTAGCTGGTGTTTTGTTACTAACGGAAAAGGGAGAGTGCATTTTGGGATAAGGTGCACCAATCTCTGCTAAAAGTCCTATGCGACAGGAAAACAGTCCCTTTCTTTCTTCCTACATTTGCACAGTGAACCTTGATTTTTCCATTGTCAAAAGGGTCTTTAACTTCTGTCCATGTAGGGTAGACTTTGTGAGGATAAATTTACCAATGTCTCTAAAATACTGTGATATATGGTAAGCAGTGTTTTATTTACTCTTTGCTTCTATGGGGACTCATGTTTGATTGTGATTCAGAACACTTAGTCTCTCTCTCTCTCTCTCTCTTTTTCATTTCAATAATTAATAGTTTTTCCATTGAAAGGAAGTATGACAGGAATGTGAAAATCATAAGTACTTTTTCTTGCCCTAGTAGAAGGGGACTGTAATTGACTAAACTTGATACTGTGAAACGTTAGTATTTTCTGAGCTTCCTTAAAGTTCTCTGCCTCCCCTTTCTGCTCCACACTTTCTCTCAAACTTGTCACAGGATTATCAAGTCTTTGATTTACTTGTAGCATGTGTCTGTCCTATTCAACCCAATAGTCAGCTGTCTGTCTTTCCACTTCATGACTCTAAAGGAAACTAGACTAGGTTGCCCAACCTTGTAATGCCTCCTTTGTGCTATGCCTGGTTTTTGTCTCAGTTGCTCAGTTGATCTTGAAAATGAAAGATTCTGGTGGGAGTTGTGGCACCCCTGTGTGTCTGACTTTGCATACATATTTGCAGTGGAAAAACTAGACTCCCATCACTGTTTGCCATTCTTTGCCTTTTCAGCCAAAACTGAGGCTAATGGGAATAGGGTTCTTAGAATTTCTGCTAGAA